GCGTCAGTGCCAGACTTTTGTTGAAGTTTGTTATGTCGAGTAAGAGTTTGTGAATAAACTGAATGTCGCGTATTTAAAATTGCTGTAAAATAATACTTGCTCGTTTGAATGGTTTCTCCTATCGAACATGTACGTACTAACGGAAAATACTAACCTAAAATAATCGATCACCCTATATAACCAGATTGTTCAAGATTATATAAAGTCAAAATTTTAAAATGTTCTCGGCAAGTCGCATCCCCCACTTATAATCATCATTGTAATCTAGATCACCTTGTTATCTGAGAATACTTCAAATAAAGTGATCAATCAAAACTTTCTAGAAGAGATACATTCACCCACCTTGTAGTATCTGTAACACACACAAGACAACACTTTATACCACAGATCAATGTTGTATTTTGATCTTTTGTTTGCAACAGATTTTATTAGAAAATTATATGTATTTACATGTATTATTTACATGTATGAGTCTATTACAGCAATTGCTCAGAAATATTGTTTTTACTTTTGTATTTCAATATTTATTGTTCATGAATTTAAAATGTATACAATATGATCCAGTCAATATTTGGTATAGAATTCACTCAATTGCACTAATATTATGAACCCAATAATGGCACGTTCGGTTTTCGTTTCGTAACCTTTGACCACCCAGCTTAGGAAATTCCTAAGCATGACTCCTGTCTTCCAGCTGCTAATTGGTGGTTAACGTCTGAGTCCACAGTGAGGGATATCGCAGAGGGTGTGGAAATGGTCCTTTATAGTCTGTGTATATTATTTTAATACTTTGTTTCATTGTGTTCAGTCATCCAGGTTGATTTGTATAGTAGCTAGGCCAGTCCCTGTGGATAATAACACATGATTTCTATCTAGGAAATGATACACGAAAGTCTAGTATTTCATGAGAGAGAGAGAGAGAGAGAGAGAACGAGAGATCTGGGGTTTAACGTCCACTCGACGCAACTAGGTCATTTCGGGACTAACATGGTTCAATTTTATTTCAATAATTCGCTTGCGCGTAGGGATTTCTAGCAGTGGGAGGAAACCGGAGGACCCGGAAAAAACCCACGAGGTTGGACAGGCAACCCTATTCCTTGTCACGTAAAACCGGGGAATCGAAACCACACCAAATGACTCAATGACAGACCTTATGATACAGCACGCACGACCTAACCATTCGGTCATCCAACCCCCCAGAGGAGCTTCGCTGCTCCAATCAAGTCTGAGAAAAAGAGACAAAAACCGACCTATAAAATCCGATCAACTAATATTAACTGATGTGAGGCCAGTCTAGTTCGCGATGACACAGCAGGTTTTTTAAAAATATAGGTTGCTAGGCAGTTCAAGGTGTGAAAACATCGATTGATTTGCTAAACATTTGTTAACTAATTGAACTCTTTAAATGAAAAGTTGTATCAGTTGTTTTAATTTTGGTACTTTTGTTTCAGCAGGCACCTGTCAGGTATTGGACCCGATTGATAATGGAATCTGGCATATAGAAGGTTTTAATCCTGGTAGTGTAGCTAAACTTGCCTGTAAAGTAGGTTATACTATGACAGGAAGTAATGAAGAGGTAACAAAGATATGTAAGGAGACTGGTGATTGGGTAGGAAAAGATGGTCATTGCGTGACAACCAAAGAAGCTGCTGCTATAGATCAAGGTATGAACATATGATTTGAATTGAAGGGTGTATAGCTCCAGCTCTAAACACGAAATAGAATTTAATATTGGCCCACTTCAATTATAATTATTTATGTTGTTATCTTGCCGTGAAAACATGGACTCCTCATATCAAATATTTAAGACAAGCTGAACATTTTAAAATCAGATAAACGTATATCTGAGCTAAGATGAGATAAACGTATAGACTGAGCTAACCAGACACAAACGAGTTTCATTCAACTTGTACAGTTCAGGTATTTTACCAAACATAATATATGAGTTTGGCCACTTTCCGTCTGGTTTGAGGTCCCAAACAATAGAGGCATACTCCGTTTAAATTAAATTTTGGATATACAGTTCACTTGAGACTTAGGGGTATGGGGTACTGTATAGTTAGCAGGCCCGGCTATTGCGGGGGGGGGGGGGGGGCTAGTGGTGAGGGGAGAAGGATAATATGGCCGCAAGTACTCCCTTCTCCAGGTTATTGCATGCAAATAACTATTCGGTGAGATATAATGACGTAACTGGAAGAGGCCTGATTTTAACCTAGAAGTGATTGGGAAACCTTTCAGTAACCTTTCAATAAGAGCCGCTAAATTCCGACTTCAACCCAGAATTTGAACATATTAAATCATTATCTTTATAATCGCCAGGTTTTGTAATTTAAGAACGTAGACTTTCAGAAAAAAAACCCCTACTATGCTCAATACTGATCCCTAGAGCTCCAGGAGCTTCCGGCTCGCCTATGGGGTTCTCTATATTTTTTCGGGCGAATTCTTCGATTGAAAATGCCCATAAATAGTACCTAGAGCTGATATCTAGTGCATAGCTCACGTAAAATAGTCGCAAGGAATACTCTTACTGGTTAGAACAGAAAATATATCCTCTTCTGCTCGAAAAATAGCATCTCAGATGCGCTAAATTGGTTGTGCCTTTAATATAAGTGGAATCTGAAGCCCCCCCCCCCCCCCGCTCCACACACACACCTACACAGATGCCGGAGATAATATTTGTTGCCATGCTATATTGACATAAGAATTGTGACATAAAGTCAGATAAATAGACTGCCGCTAGCAATATTAGGGACACAGGCGAAAGTAGAATTAACCGAACAATGACTTTTATCAGGAATTCGAGGCTATATGGGAAAATTGTTCTAAAAAAGGAATGCTTATTGTGTGGCCATTCAGTGAACATTTAGCATTGTGATTACGTCGTAAATACCAGTTGTCTTAAGTCTGGGACTAGAAGACATTTTCCTAATCATATATTATCTCTCTTTTCTTGTAAATACCAAGATATGACCAAACATTGCCGGGAGGTCTTTATAAAAGATGACACTTTCCAATTACTCGTTAGTAAGAGAACGCAATAGAAAAACGTTATAAAAAGAATTTAAATGTCGGAGAAGCTTACATGTCTGGACAAAAACAGTTTAAAGTAATAGGTGCTGTAAAATATTACCACCTAGCAAAATCGACTGGATAATCATTACAACCCCACCCTACATACAGTTAGGTCTATTTGATAAGGCCAACTTCAAGTTTGGTCAACCTAACCCCAAATTCTTAAACCTAACATCAGCGACCGTGACGAAAAGTGAGCTGGCCTTAACAAATATTTTTAGCCCCCCCCCCCCCACACACACACACCCACTCAACCACGCAGAGATGCATTCGACACGATCATCAAGAAACTTATGACTGGAAGGGAAGTTTACGGTAACACATTTAGTGGGAATCATAATATTATACCAAACCTATTACTCATTTCCATCTTGCTTGACATTTTTTTTTTAGCCGAACGGTCCAAAGAACTTGTGGCGTAGCTCATATACGTAGGCCTCGTTAACTTTTTACATTTTCGATATTTTCTCCTGAAGCGATTAGTGCATTTTGACCAGCTTTAGTAGGTATGTTCACTGGGAAACACTTTGGTGCACATTTTCGACTCATTTCTTGTAAACTACTTAAAAAAGTTTTCAACACAATTTGAAAAGTGAGTAGCTTTGGTTGTACACGGATAGATTCGTTAAAATGGAAGACCCACACTGCAGAACAATAGTGGCGGGAAAATGGCACTATTCCTAAATCACTTAATGGATTCTAAACAAACTTGCTAGGTATGTTACATGGGTCGTGAAAATTTTCTTGCCTTTCTAAAATTACGGGCCACATGAAAGGTGCAAATTTAGGACTTGTTTGTAGGAATTTAAGTTTTGTATAATATTAAAAATGTATGTAATGTAAAGCTGTTTGGCACATTAAGAGCACCACGGACAAATTAATATCAAATGTATCCTAAATGGATGGCTTTAAAGATAGGATACAGGAATTATTAATAGTAAATACTGAAGGACTGCACTAAACGCAAACAAAACCCTTGGCGTTGGACAAATCTAAGGACAATCGGACACACAAATTACACAGACATTGCAAGCAATAAACAACAACTGTATATATGAAATAAAATGTTTGAATCCAGGGACCAGCCGCAATTGTCCACTGCGCTGTATATTCTTCACTCAAAATTAAAATCAAATTCACAATAAAACAGATAAAAAAACGTAGCCACCAATTAGAACGTCCAAAAAAAAAAAAAAAAATTAACAATACTAAGAACGTCAATCGGATAGAATCTCAGAGACCGTTAAAATGAGCACTCTAGGAGAGAGACAAATTGGCTTTTAACGTCCACTCGACACAAACTAGGTCATTTCGGGACTAACGTATGGTTTAATTTTATTTCAATAATTCGCTTGCGCGTAGGGGTCTTTAGCAGTGGGAGGAAACCGGACGACCCGGAGAAAACCCACGAGGTTGGACAGGCGACCCTACTCCTTGTCACGTACAACCGGGGATTCGAAACTACGCCAGTTGACTCAATGACAGGCCTTATGATACAGCGCGCACGTGGTAACCATTCGGCCATCCAACCTCCCCGAGAACTCTAGGAATAAAGTGTAATAGTAAACAGCAACGAAGTCCAACATCGAAAACATTCTGCATCACGAAGAGCTAAAACTTAACTCTAATAATATGAACAGGCGGACTGCACTACACGTAAAAAAACACATTAGAAAAATGTGATATTGATAGAAATTAATCATCAATTGTGTCTTGTCTTTAAGCGACGTTTTGGTGGTATTAAAGATCAAAACATGAATGCGTGATATTTAAAAAAAAATGATTTAGACTTTTTAAATAGCGAGCTTAAAAAAGACCACTCTTGTATAAAATGTAGAATATGGAGATGAAAAAGGTAGTAAATTGTACTTAATTATTATGTTTTTATTTCCCCAGGAGGTCTGCCATTTTTAATTATCGTCATCACATTGGTATTATGTGCGTTGCTGTTGGCGACTATCGTCTTGGTGATTGTTATATTAGTGTACAGAAGGCGGAAACTGTGGTGAGCTAATTTTATTATATACGTTGGTCGACATTTAAAGTAGCTAAGTCCATAACTCAATATCATCCAAAATCTTCGACATTGAAAACACGATTTTTTTGGCAATTTAAATCAGCATTGGTATTGTGGTCTTACATGGAAAGATGGGCTTCTGATATCCAATATTTGAGACAAAATATTCGTGTACCATAATGCGTTTCGGCGCCATTTGTAACAAGGTGCTCAAAAAATGAGGCTAGACATAATCCACAAGTCATGTCAAACGGGGATGCCATATTTTTATTTGGAGAGCATGCGCATTATACTATCGGTGTTGACTGGAATAACCAGACACTAGAAACTGTCTTTCGGTTGAGACTTCTGGCGTATTTCGCCGAACATAACTGATGACAATTCACAGTAAAACGGAAACGATTGAATGTAAAACAGTTTATATAAATTCATATTACATTATTATATGTGTTGCGACCCATTTGTGCCAATTTCTAGGCCCAAAATATTAGCGATTTAGCTCCTTTAAGCCTAGTATGTCATCGGGTTTAAATCTGCGCATATGCCGAGAAAAACCTTCATGATTTTCAAAGACCGACCATGTCTTGTCAGGGTTGGCGACTACAGAGCTAACATGACACGACCATTGTGTGTATAAACTGGGTTTCACCCATGGCATGTGCGTAAAAAATCCCGTTTACAATCGGAATTTAAAGATGAGTAGGTGGAAAAGCCACTGCCTATTTGTCGCCATGCATATACATGTATGCAGGACACGAGATTGCATTGCTATAGCAGGCACTGGTGGACACTGACATGACTCAAAAGAATATCAATCACTGTGTTCTAACGTTTACAAAAAAATAAATAAATAAATAAATGAAATAAATGAAAATAAATAGTACACATTACTGCTGGATCCGTTTATTTTATTTTTGTACACGTTGGAACACGGCGATTGTACATTGTCAATTAATCTCGGGATTCTTGATAACTGTAAGCCCTCAAACGCCTGAGCATGATCCTTACCGCGGTTTGATTTTCATATAAGTCATGTCGTTGACTATCAGTGCCTGCTATATTAGCAGGTTGTTCGTCATTTGCCGATGAAACGGCCAGAAGCATGGATGGGCAGTCGCTCTTGAAATGCAAATTCTACTAATAGTGAAGATTTGTTGAGTCAAGCCTAATGCATGGAATGTCCTAGCACGTAGCCAAGTGGACCGACTTCAAGAAATCAATCAGTATATGGAAAATGTTCTAGATTTACTAAGTAAATAGAGTGAAGGTCGTTCACGGCAGCTGAGTCATCTATAAGACCTCAAATTAAGTTTTTGATAGTTGACTTATTATCTACATTAATAGCTTGTTATACTGATCTCATGTTGTAATCGCATGTACGTATTAAACACGTGTGAATCTTTTCAGTGTGGTAAACATGTTGAGGACATAGAATTCTGAGATGCTCATCATATACTAATGATGCTTTTGTCTCCACCATATGGATTACAAATCGCAAATTAATAGAAAAACGAAATGAAGGGTAAAACAATATTAATAATTTAGCCGATTAGAGTATGTCTACACACAGCAAGATAAAAATGAATACTTTCTCAAAATCGTATATCTAAAGGCCAAGCTTTGCTCTTATGATTTTGGTGTTTAAGGTCGTCAAAGCTGTATTTTAGAACTACGGGAGAAACTGGTATCAACATGGTCAAGACCGGGTGTTGATGACAGTATATAGAGACTGTCTTTGCTTTTCACTAGCACTATGACATTTTTACGCAATAATGTAGGCCCCAATATAATCAATAATAATGGCATCTTATTTCATTGATATCAGCAGGTTTCATTGCACCAAACAATACTCTTCCTTTCTTCCAGAATTTAATCTATATCCGAGTACGAAAAACAGAACTGGGTAATTCAAAATGAGTAATAGAATTCCCGTTCATTTTTTAATGGTCAACTGCAGCGGTAAATTAGATGAACAAGAGTCGGTTATAACCAAGGTTTTCTGTTGAAATTAGAATTAAGTCTAAGTAAGACATCTTTAATAATTTTCACCCAAAAAAATATATGACAATGACTTAAGGGTTATTTAAAGGGGATAAAATGACAATAACCACCGCGATTATTTAAACGGGTTATGTGACAGTGTCCCGGGGTTTGTTTAACGGGGGTTTTAATTTAAGGAATTGAGTCTATAACAATAGCCCAAGGTTTTTTTAAAAATATGACAATACCAAAGGGTTATTTGCAAGGATTATATGACAAGGACCAAAACGTCATTTAAATGTAATTGAGTCTATAACATTAGCCCAAGGTTTTTTTAAAATATGACAATACCAAAGGGTTATTTACAGGGATTATATGACAAGGACCAAAAGGTCATTTAAATGGATTAAATGACAATAACCTCGGTTCTTTACTTGATTTCATTTTTTAAAAAGTTTTGACAAGTATAAACGAGAAACAGTGATGATTACCAGAAAACTCTCCAAAAACCTCGAAATAATTATGGAAAATTTATCGACTAAAGAAAATGTAATTGTTCAAAAATGTTCAGGAAAGCTATTATATGTTCTTAAAATGTCCTGTTTTCTAATGGTTTATGATACCGTTCCTGGTGATTAATGAGCTTAATCTTGTTCTTTTTCATCTCTTTTGGAGATGGCTTACATAAAGATACAAAGATACGTTACTAGTCTGTTTTTAACTATCGCTCGTAAAAGAAAAGTCAAATTCAACTTTGATAGGGAAACTATTCCAAAATAAGTGGTATCGTGACAAGATAGTATCAGGTAGTTTCGAAAAGAGTACGTATAATGTGTCTCACGACACCCACCAATAATATCATGTTTGTGAAATAGATTTGTGATGATACAGGCACCGACACTTTATACTTACAAGCAATCTGTGAATGCATGTGTTAGCTAGTGCGTTAAATGTCATTGTAGTGTGGTTATAGCAATTAGAAAGTCCTCATAAAATGAAAGTTCAACACAGAATCTTTTTGTCATTAGATATGGGCTCGAGTCTTACGTCGTCCGTTTGCCACCTCGATTGTCATTCCTATGCCCGCGTCGGCATTCATCAACTACTCTGTACTATTTACATTTTTGACACCTTCTGATGGATTCGACAAAATTCGGCAATTGTAAATAAATGAATTTTAAATTTGCAAATTTAATTTTTTTTCGGCAATTTGAAAAATGGTCGGTTTTCTCCAAATCAAGTATACATGTGTGTGCTTGAGTGGTCCTTATTCGAATTTGTCCAAATCGAGCTTCTCGGCCCTTGGGTTGTGCAAGGAGTCATAAAGCGCCAAATGGAGACATATTTGGGCATTTCCATCTTATTTCCCAAAACCACTTGATGGATATTAACAAAATGTTGCTTTGGTGATGCAATTCGGACATTTCTGAATCTTTTCAACTCTTTTTAACGATTTCGATGAAAGAAAATGATCGAGATGTACAGAGATTTTTGTGGATAGATGATGTAGAGAAAGACAAACGCAATTTGATGTTTTACGTTTTGGACTATCATACAGTCCGTTTCTTCTTAACGCAACTCTAAAGTACCAGATGCAGAAGTTTGAACAAATTGATGCGGAGTTTATCATACTATTTATGAGGTCCATTTACGTCGACGATCTCATATCCGGAGCTAAAAATGATGATGGAGCTTCGAGTTGTACCAGAAATCAAAATCTTGTTCAGCAGTAGAGGGATTTAATTTAAGAAAGTTTGTCACGAATTCAAGTCAACCAAGGAAAAGAATTCAAAGTGAAGAAGCACAAATGAATAAGATTATTTTACATTAGAATTAATCGTCAAACAGATTATTTGTGAAGAAGATGAGTCATGTACCGAGAGCATATTACCTGCAACAGGTAAAGTTTAACGTTAGTAATTATGTCGTTCTTCGTGGGAGTCGTAACTTTCCGTCAATAAACAATCCATGACGTCATTTTAGTCCTGCTCATATTCTAGTCTATATTTCTATGAGCAGAAGGACTAAAATGACGTCGTGTTATACTTATGGAAAGGATATGTTCACATAATTACTTGCATTATTTTTAAAAAATTATGAAGCTTTTCCGGTGACCTTTAATTAGATTATTTATTTGTGCATGTGTTTTTCATCATTTCTATTTTGAACTGTACAAAGTGAAGAACTATAAGTGTAACGACTTTTAAGGTCTAAAGTGATATTTCTAGTGATAAAGCACTGTGCACACAAAACAGACCATTTTCAAGTGATTATTTTATCTGTGTGATGACCAGCTCCATAAGTAAAGATAGGAGAGTGTGACTGACTTATATATACAGTAATTCAAAGCCCCTGTGATTTTGTTTTACGAGCCCCTTTGTTCTGTAGATTAGAGTTAATTCCCTTTGTTTACTAGCGCGCCAATGAACAAATGTGGACGTCTGCCATGATTATTGTCAATTTATGGATGATGTTTTGTTAAAACTTTATGTCTTATGAATAAATACAGTCCTCAAGATTCGGCACTTATTGATTTAAACCCAACATATCTAATTATATAGTCCGATTCGATTTGTTACATATTTTACTCTGTTGTGTATACAGTGCAGTAGTCCAGTCGATAAGTCCCGCCCCAAAATGATCACGTGAGCGTTTTAAATGGCGGGTATTTAGGGCAGTGATCTAATTCTCGAAGTTTGACGTAGATCGATCGCTGCTTGCAGTATGGTCACGGGAGTGTGGTCAGAACGTATCTCGGTCTGACGGGTAACTACAAGATCATGGTGGAACACTTTGCGTGTAGCCAGAACTTGACTGGAGCGCTCTGGGTGTAGTAAGCGCGTGGGGTGGTCGTGACATGAGCATGATGGGCACGTGTCAATCTTTTGCCGCCCTTATTGGCACAAGTCCCGCGCTGCAGTTACGCTCTCTTTGCCTTCATGCCAGTGAATAGGAAAATCGATTTCAGCTCAGTGGTCATCTCGGATGAGGAATTTTCTTCGTTAGATAATAGACAAAATGGGTACGACACGGTACCGGCTTTCAGGAATGTGCTACAAGCTAATAGCCTACGTAGCAGAATTGGAAGGTCCATGCCTGTACATAACAACAACAAGTAAATAAATGATAATAATGTGTTTAGAAAACGTTCCGCCATCATGGAAATATGCGAAATTGGTGAACATAAGTCATTTTATGCAGTTGTATATGGCAGAAATTGAATCTGCACCCCGAAAACATATACTGACACCAAAGACAACTACTTAATCGAAATCGGCATATTGTTCGATTTTGCTGCCACTAGTGGCAGCAATATTGTAAATATGAAAATATGTGTGAACATATGATCATTTTACTAGGTTGTAAATGTCAGAAATGGAATCTGCGCCCCTGTAAACATATATATTGACACCAAACACTACTATTTAATCAAAATATGCACATCGTCCCAATTTCCCGTCAAAAATGGCCGCCATCTTGGAAATATGCTAGTATGTGATCATTTTACAAGGTTGTAAATGTCCGGAATGGAATCCATGACCCCGAAAACATATATATTGACACCAAACACTACTACTTAATCAAAATCAGCACATGGTCCTATTTTCCCGCCAAAAATGGTCGCCATCTAGGAAATAACTTCATAAAGTGATGCAAAAAAATCTAAAATATATAGTCATGATCCATGTCAATATTTAAACATTGCCAAATCACAGTTGATATGTCGATAACATTATAAATAAGGTGAGAATAAAAAAAATAAGTTGCAATATTATTGCAAAATGGCTGCCCTCAGATAATGACCTCCCATACTATGAAGACCTACTCAGAAAAAATGTCAACATTGTTTTTTTGTCATTAAACATCAAAACCTACAACATAATGCTTGTTCTACGATTTCTACCCGAAAAGCCGACGGATTTACATTAGGGATCGAACTAATAGTGCCATATATCAAGTACAATTATCTTCTGCTGGCGAGAGGACATTGTATACAAAACCTACACATGTAATTCATGTTCTTGGTACAAAAAGTGGACTAATCGGTCTTTGAACATTCGCTGATAAATGAGAAAGACGCCCACTTAAAGATTATAATAGCCAAGGAAAATGACAAATAATAAAACTTCTGTTTACCAATTTCCGTCTTCATTATCCGTCGGAGCATAGCAGTAGGATGTAAAACCCCATTTTATTTCATTTCATTTAATTTCGATTACCGGTACCAACTTTAAAGGAGCTGATGGAGACATGTTTTAGTTGGCATATGCCTGTATTCATGGGCCTGCCTATCTTCTTACACCCGTCATCAGTCGCCGTGTTTGTTCTACAAATTGAAAACAAGTATGGCGACTGTGTAGGGCGTTATCTTTTTTTTTTTCGTTTAATTCTTTCCATAGTTTTGTAATCGGAGTTCAGCTTTAAGTTGTGATCCTATAACGTTTTTAATAGAAGTAAACGCAAGTTCATGGTGTCATCACCTCGGAACAGGGTGGAACAATAATTGTCCGGATTGGAGTGTCGTATACTTGGCATCTCCTTTCTATAATGTAGCTAAAATGTTAATTCTATTAATTTTCAGTGTCGAAGATTCTTCACCAGAGCCCAAAATAAGTTTTGGTGCATTGGAGAAGCCTTTAACAGGTCGTGCGGTAGAAATACAACCAGAGTTAGGCAATCTGGAACCTCGCCTTGATCAAAGAGCCTATCTCATGTAAGTTTTGTCTCTATAGTATAATTGTGTGAGTAGATGTAATGTGCACAAAACAAATATTGTGCTGGTTTTGGTCTGGGCGTTTGTTTTGTCTAATAGTACATTGATGCATTCAAAGGTAAGACACCACCCATTAGCAACACATTTAAAACATAGAAGACACGCGCATAGACACGCATTGCAAGTCATAAAAGCATGGTCAGATGAAATGGATGGATCCGGGGTCAATTAGTATCCGTAAAGTCCCTGGCGTAAAATCATCATAATAGGTAGGTGTTGGATTTTAAACTGCATACGATATCAGCGGAACGTGGCCATAGAAAGTAGTAATGGGATTTAAACCTTGTGGATTAACTGGAACCTTAAAGGCACAATACCACTCTTGTTGTAACTGAATAATATGTCCCAATCTTTATTCTGGTCAACAAATTGTACTATTTTACAATATTCCAATTAATTGATGATACAAATTTCATCTTAACACACCTAATTTAAAAAATTGGAAAAATTCAACTAAATGATTTGAAAAGCCTAACGTAAAGCTTTTCAAATGTGACTTGGATTTAAAAGTATTTTCGAACCCTCTGGACAAGTAAAATAGGATTTAATGGATAATTTACACAACAGGTAGGATACTTAAACATCTAATACTTAGAATAAGGCTATTGTTTATTTTCTGGAGCTGTCAAGCCAGCAAGAGTGATATTGTTCCTTTATCCAATAGCGCAGTCAACTTCATCTGCTATTGATGGGAAGAAAGTGTATGTTAAACCAATGACGTCGTCAGCGATTTTAATATTCTAGCCTTTGTAAATGTTAAACATTCTTGGTTCCCCTTATCGTGCGCTACCGTTAGCTATACTTGGTAATTTTCAGGCTATTAATTATTATCGTATTTGAGTTGACATTTGATTGGCTTCAGAGCGGAAGTACCATAGGAGATTGTCATAGAAATGCTGACATGATTTTCAGTTTCGATCATTCATTAAGAAGAGAGTTAATGGTAGCTGAAAAATTAGCACATAAAGATGACCTCCTAGATAGGAACACAGAAGCTTACTTGATTGGACAGCAAAAATTGGGGCTGCTTTAAAGTCTTAACTATACGTTATTCGCCGACAAACAAAGTCCTCAATAATTAATATCTTTGTCCAGTTTTGTCGTGCCGTTATAAAAACAAGTGCACCGCAAGTGGCACCAAAATACGCCCGTTAACGAAAGGTCAACTTATAGATTGCAGGAAACCATGTTTTATACATGGCAGTGTCTCAAAGAAAGCGGCGGACCTCAAGAAATAATATGGCGATTAAGTTAAAAATGTTGATTTAAGATCGAATATTTAGTTAAGTAAACATATATAAGTACATTGTTTAGAACAATATTCACGTATAACTTAAAAGAGATTTCGGAATATAAATGCTGCACAACTTCAATAAATGTAAAGGTTTCAAAACTATAATATTGAGAAAAAAGGTGTAAAACCAATTTTTTTGTTGTTTTTTTTACATATTATGTAAACCGTTGTTGTCATAGATAGAGCCCAGAAAATTTATTTCAGAAGTACAAACATTCTGATTGACTGAAATGAACAATTAGAATAACAGACGTCACGGAATATTAAAGAGCATTGAACTTGTTTTGTCTGTACAAGCAGACACGTGGGCCTGACGTTTAGACAGGACTAATCGGATATACAGCTGAGTTGGTGTCGGACTGTACTTTAAAAAAACTACTACACTGTAAAATGAAATGTTGAAGATTCTACGGTGATGCCGAAAGTTTTGCTATTTCTGAAACAACAGATAACATTCACTAACTGAAATTCGGGTGAACTATTTACGAAATTCCCACCAGTTTTACATTTTATTAGCGAATTACCACCTTCCGTCCCAATGTAAAATGCCGTCAAAACTATTCATAAATAAAAAGACCCTGCACTTGAAGAAGACCCCCCCCCCCCCTTAAAAAAAATCTTTGGCTAATTGGGAAACCATACTTAATTGGGAAACCATACTTATTTATTTATTTACAAAAAAAGCACTGGCTGGACATGTACACTGATGATGGATAAACAATAAAAAGAGAGGCACTTCGAATTCTGGCCGTTTCCTCTTTGTTGTATAAACACCCTACTCGTATTGGTGCAAGATCGGTTTTGTCGCCATGTACTTTATGAATGATCAACAACCGAACATCGGGCAATATTTTTGATTTTTTTTTTACAGTTCTTTTTTCACAGTGAACATAAAACCGGAAAATGATTCTTCTTAATCTGCTCCCCTCTTCACTAATGTCTAATAATTAATTCGGAAATAATCAGAAAGAACCACGAGGGCGGTTAATGTAGCTTTTGTCTATTCTTTTCCCGGGGAGCTTTAGGTCGGCGTTAGTCCTATTACACAACCCATCAAATTCGCCAGAGAAAAATATCTGACGTGACATTTAAGATTTTTTCCCTGCCATTTTGCTTTCTAATATAAATTGGATTAGAAATTGAAATCCGTTTTCTATTAGTAATGTTAATTGACGTAGGTCGAGAATCTTTTAAGCTTGTGTCTCACTTGCATTATTTCACCGTTAAAGTAATTTACAGTCCACTTTTATAGGAACAAATTTTTAAACCCGACCAATCTAATCAAATCGGTTTGTTTCAAGACAAAACGAAAAACGGTCAGGCGCGTGTGCTGTAGATCATAAGCTCTGTCTGTCATTGAGTAAACTGGCGTGGTTTCGATCCAACACGTGTATGTGACAAGGGGTAGAGTCACCTGCGTTAGCGAATTATTGAAACAAAATTTGTACCATTATGTTTGTCCCGAAATGTTAAACTGGTGACACCAATTGCTTCCTCGTGATAATTTTTTATGGTGTCCATTTCAGGCAATATGGTCAGCTCCCACCAAGGCGCTATGTTTCAATGGAGTCACAGAGACGCCTTATACCGGTACCGGAAGAAGATGGTGACGCAGAACTGACGTCACCAGACGGCGGTCAGTACATCCTCGACCAGTCAGAACTTGAGTTGGGGGCAGGAGTGCAGGATTGGGTACATGCTTACGGGTCAGTTGTTACGCATGAAAACCACAAGTAGCGATTGGATTTAATGCAGCAAAAATATTTGTAGCTGTAAAAATTTAACGAATTTTAGAAACTTGTCGGTGCTCTTATACACCCAGGGGAAGTGAAAAAATAGAACGGTATATTTTTAGAAATATAAATGGATGAATTATTAAGATATTGGGCTTGTGAATATGCCATGGAGTTCGTGAGCATGTATTGTCAAAAATCTTTGAAAATTGGTCTCAGCTATAGGTTTGGTGAAAGAAAACCATAAAAACGATTACAAGATTGGTTTTTAATTTTAAAAATGTATATTTTCTTATATAAATTGTTTTAAGAGCATTGTTTTTAAGTTTAATGAATCGTTGAGCACTATTTGTATATGATTATTTTTCTGTGCTCAAATTCCATAGCAAATATACTGTTTTATTGGGTATATGAATTTCTATTTTGCAAGAGAGCATTGTAAATATTTCCGTACACAGGGCCCCTCAAAGACATCTGAGACTATCCTTTTAAAATGAGAATACGAGTAGCACCGTTATTTGACATATTTAAAGTATCCCAAGGCCGATTATTATAAACAAAAACATCCCGTTATAATGTCTAACTAATTAATTTGTTATGAATTTGACAATCTTGTTAGTCGGTGCTTAATAGAAACTTTGAAATCTCGATACTGAACCATGCGAACATGACAGGACGATTTACACAATACTAATTTAATACTACTCAATACCACCACATTCTACCTGATTATGATTAAATACAGAGAGAATTCATAAATTATATCAATAAAAATTGAGTTAATTCGCGGAAAACTTGCAACAAAGTGTACGGTAAACTAACTCTTTGTGGGAGTAAAAAAACAATTTAGAATTACCACCTAAAAATTCGTTACATCATTGTACAGACATAAATATTTGAATATGTTAGTCTATTACTTTCCATATTGTTGTGATAATTTTGTCGTATTTACCATTAGTTCTTTGTTGTTTTAATCAACTATCACCTTCCAGTTCCCAGTGAAAAACAATGTCAGTGAAAAACACTGCTCCAGCAGGTATGTACTTATCTGAATTTAGTGGAAGGTACTCCACGTTTAATATTGGCGTAAAAAAACACAATTTTGTAATTTCAGTCAGCCTGCCTGAGATAAAAGCATGGTAAACATGTCGCTTATCCTATTGTCCGTTGTGGGCGTTCATCAAAGCTAATGAGCTAAAATAGTGTTATTTCCTTCCGGATGAACATCGCGATTCGAGCGGCTAATTGCAATCATCAAAACAGGGAAAAGTACAAAGGCACTGATTATATATTTTTTTTTAACTGAATCTTTTTTGAATAAAAAGATATTGTTTAAAAATAGGAAAACAAACCCCAACCCAACATTCCTATCTTGATATTATAAAAGCCCGTAGGCTTTAACTCCGGCATTGTGTACCTTGTTGTTCATTACCAGCTTTGTTATTGATTATATAAACTAAAATTAGTTTTGTTATATATTATAAACCCGTACAGAGTTAAGCATTGGCATTGTTATTCATGATAAGCGCTTACACTGTCGTAGTCATTCATATATAAACTTTCTCTTTTTTATTATTCGCTCATATTTTCATGTGGACGTATATTGTCGTCGTCCCTGTCCGTCAGTTCGCATTGTGTTTGTGGCGCCTCTGCAGTGTGTGTTTGTGAGTGTAGAATAGTCTTATTTAACGTCTGCTTCCACCGAGGTGATATCGCAGATAATTACATGTTATATGTACAGATTGAAACTATTCACAATGTGATTAGCGAAAAAACTTTAAAGGATTATTAGATATTTATATACCGGTATATATATATATATTTATAGAATGAGCAGAATAATTATATGACGGGACAATAACAGTTTAATAAAAAAAAGAAGTGCAAATAATGACAAACATTAGACATTTTACAGACACATATCGTACAGTACAACACGAACATTTGACAAAGCAAACATGAATACGGACAAATAAACAGACTGTAAATATCTGTATAAGTCATTTCTGTCGATCTGGTCGATTTTTCCAGTTGAATGGCAGGGTGGTGCAACACTTCCTTGGGTCTTGTTGGTGAGTGTGGGGCCTGATCCATTCTTCCTTCCATTTGGTCTTCTTGTCCGGTATTTCGTCTTCTTTTCTGTTTTTTGTACCTTTTTTTATTTGTTCTCTAAAGTAAGAATCCAGCACCTGAAAAAAAAGAAGAAAGTATTTGGTATGACAATAACTTATTTCGTCTAATAAGGCTTCTGTGGGTGGGGTTGGGGCAATTTGGGCATTAAAAATGAATAGATAAATAAATAAATTGACGAATACATAAATAGGTAAATAGAAAAACAGATAAATGAAAAAAATAAAAATAAATATGGCTTTCTACAAGTATGATCATATGGTTGATCATGTACATGTATATATATATAGTTTGTGAAAGCAATTTTTATTTTTAAGGTTATATGCAAATACAATAAAACATTAAAAATAGTTACATGGATGTACAACCAATCTTAGTTTAAGAATATATATAATATAGTACGAATAATGAACCCTCTACAGCTGCTCACAATTTTATTTTTATACCATTTTGGCGAAACTTGACCGCTCGACAAAATGACCGCTCCCATACGCAAACAGTGTAAAAGTATGTAATACCGAAGTTGTAGACACTCCAGAGGTCACAATTTCTTTTTATCTGATTTGAATGGAACGTAAACTATATGTTTATATCCCAAAGATCTGCGCGTATCGGACCGTAACGTCCTGGATTATGGCCCCAGCTTGTACGAAGAATTACCTTTTTATACCTTGTTCTCTGTCCATCTCTTTCAAAATGTGGGTATATCTTGCATGGCAACCACTTGTTGATTATATAAACTAAAATTTTGTTTTTCACTGTAAAGTCGCACACAATTAAACATTGGCACTAAAATTATTTTTGTTATTCGCTATAAAGCCGTACAGAGTTAAAACATTGGCATTGTTATTCATGATAAGCTTTTACACTGTCGTTGTTATTCATTGATAAACCCAATATGTTTAAACATGGTCCTTTTTATTCATATGTATGTAAACCCAATATGTTTAAATATTATCCTTGTTATTCATATGTAAACCCAATATGTTTAAACATTATTGTTGTTACTTATATTTAAACCCAATATGTTTAAACGCTACCTTTGTTATTTCACTATATAAAAATCTAGATGTCTACACAATATTTGTTTTAAATAATAAATATAAAACTATATATCTTAGATTGTCAACATTTTCATTAATCATAAAATAAAAAATGCTTAAACTCTCCCATTGTTATTTATTATAAAACTCTTATACTAAAAATACAGTTTTTGTTATTAAACCGTAAAATCTATAATTACCGGGTTGTATAATCTTGGCAAATCGTCCGTAATTGGTAAATAAAGATTATTCTAATGTACATGTACTAGACACAGGGGCTAATTCATTAAGGCAATGAAACGATTGCTCTTAATCTGATAGCAAATATTATAAAATAAGTTTTCACCAATAGTTACTTGACGATTTTATTTTTTCCACAAAATATACCATATAATAAATACAATTATAGCATTGCTATTTATAATAAAACCCTTATAATTTCCAACTTGCTGTTCATGCTAGATGTCTAACCCCGCCATTGGTGATAATTATCCAACCTCACAATCCGAAATATATAAGTACACTTTAACTAGCTTTAAATAATTGTTTGTCAGAATCTACATTTTCTTTTTCAACCATATTTTGTCATATCAGTCGCAAGGCCAATATGGTCTAAACCACTGTCTTATAGGTGAAATCAATTAGGATAGATTCAACATTGATGTCGTTATGTAAGACAATAATAACCCTAATGCTAATACCCTCGGTCGATATATGAAATAACCCACGGCCATGGCCATAGGTTATTTCACATGTCAACTCTTTTAAAACTGTGAATATTTAAACACTTTCATTATTATTTAAAAAAAAAAAAAAAAAAAAATCACAAAATGATTAAGCAGCACGTCATTGTTACCTTGATGTTAAACTATATTTTTGTTGCCGGTAAATGTTTAAACGCCATCAGTGTTATTCATTATAAAACCCTTATTACACCTACATAATTTTATTCATTATAAAACCTTTATTGCACCTACATCATTATTATTCATTATAAAACCCTTATTGCACCTACATCATTGTTATTCATTATAAAACCTCTATTGTACCTACATCATCATTGTTATTCATTATAAAACCCTCATTGTACGTCATATGTTCGATCTCTGCATTGGCCGAGAAAGTTCATCCGGATTTTCCGGCGTGTTTCCCCCTTGTCAGTGATGCAGGATGGAGGGCCTGACAAGGACAGTCTGTCTAGTCGTTCGGATGGGACGGAAAACCGAGGTCCCGTGTACACATTGGCGTGCACGTAAAAGATCCCTTGGCAGTTGGAATTCGATATAAGAGTAGGCCGTATGACGTATGCCCGTCTTCATTAGCCCAGTTTAGGAGCAGAACAGTAGGGCGTTAAACCCCATTTCATTTCATTGATTGTATCATTGCTTGATAGCGATGAGAGTACCCTCATTGAAACGTTGCAGTTAATAAACCTAGTGAACGTTATCAATAAAGCTGCCTGTTATTAAATATATATATCGCTTTCACAATATGCCTTTCAAAGATAATCATTGTTATTCATTATAACACATTTATTGTACTACATCATCGTTGTTCATTATGAAACCCATATTGTTGATGTACAACATTGTTATTATAAAACCCATATTGTTATTATAAAACCCATAGATTGTACATCATTGTTATTCATAAATCACTTATATTTTTAAAATTATTTTAACACACGCTTTTGAGATTTTTGAAGATGGCCGACTTGTTTTATTTGTAAACTTTTGTGAAAATGTCTAATTCGATTCGTTGTATATCGTGCCCGTCGTTTTTTTTAACATTTTTCATTTCCGACGTCTGCCAAACCGCTAATGGATTTCAATCAAATTTAATAGACAAATTTTATGGACGGTGCCCGATTGCTGAATTTCAACCAAATTTGATAGGTATGTTGCAAATTGT